TCCCTGTACCCGGCTGGACACTACCAGACACCCCTGGGCTATGAGCGCATCACCACGTTTGACAGCAGCGGCAATGTGGAGGAGGTGTGCAGGCCGCGCACCAGGATGCTCTGTGCCCAGAACACCTACACCCTGCCAGGGCCCGGCAGCTCGGCCACGCTGCGCATTACCGCCACCGAGAAGAAGATCCAGCAGCCCTGTTCAAGCGCCACCCTGAACAGACTCACTGTCCCGCGCTACTCCATCCCAACTGGGGACCCACCACCTTACCCCGAAATCGCCAGCCAGCTGTCACAGGGCCGAAGCATTGCACAGAGGCTGGACAGCACTATTATTCACGCCACTCTGCGGCGGAACAGCAGAGAGGCAGCTATGAAAATGGCTCAGCTGGTTGACGGTCAACGAGCCACTTTGCAACTTCCCCTGAAAGCCAAGAGCAACGTTGTGACAGCACAGTACCCGCAGAGAGCACCTACAGCTTTGTACACCTGCAGCCAGTGCAGCAGCAGTAGCAGCAGTGGCAATGGCAGCAGCAGCACAGGCACTGGTGTGGGGAGCATGGCTAATGCCAATGCTAGTAGCAGCACTTCCAGTATTAGTGGTCTGAGACCTGACTTAAGCACAGGCAGTAGCTCCCAGCATAGCTCTGTCATTGCTCACTCTGTCAGTACTTCACCTCTGGCCTCCCAATCTTCCTATAGCTTGCTGAGCCCACCTGACAATTCCCGTGACCGGGCAGATTATATCAACTCAGCCTTCACAGAGGATGAGGCCCTTTCTCAGCACTGCCCAGTGGAGAAATCAATGCGGCATGTCCCAGTGGCTTTGACAGAGGCTGCCATTGGTGTAAAACGGCCACCACCGTACCAGTGGGACCCTATGGTGAGTGAAGAGATATGGGTTCCTCAGGAAAGGACATCTCAGAGCTCAGTACCCAACCCTCTAAAACCTACTCCTCTCATCATTGGTCAAACTCAGCATTTGGATATGTCTCGAGTGCCATTTGTTTCCCCTAAGTCTCCAACCAGTCCCACTGCCACGTTCCAGACGAGTTATGGGGTTGGAGTCCCATACCCAGGAAGCTACAGTGCCCCCCCTCTTCAGGGAATGCAGCCCTCCTGCTCCCCTAAAGAAGCTTTGGCCCCAACGCAGTTTGCACAGCAGGAGCCAACAGTAGTGCTTCAGCCAGGTTATCCATCTAACCTCTCCTATTGCCCTTTGCCACCCATGTATCCAGGAGGTAGCACTTGCTCTAGTTTACAGCTGCCACCGATAGCCTTGCACCCGTGGAGCTCCTACAGTGCATGCCCACCTGTACCAAATCCCCAAGGCACTTTGCCCCCGAAGCCACTCCTTGTGGTGGAGAAACCAGTTTTGTCTCCTCCACCAGCAGAGCTTCAGGGCCATGTGGGCACAGAGGTGATGGTGGAAACAGCAGACACCTTTCAGGAGGTGCTTTCCTTGACAGAAAGCCCTGTTCCTCAAAGGACAGACAAATTCGGCAAGAAGAACCGGAAGCGTCTAGATAGCCGAGCTGAGGAAGGAAACGTGCAAGCTATCACTGAGGGCAAGGTCAAAAAGGAGGCAAGGACACTAACAGACTTCAATTCACTAATATCCAGCCCAAGGCTGGGCAGGGAGAAGAAGAAAGTCAAGAGCCAAAAAGACCAGCTGAAGTCCAAGAAGTTGAACAAGACAAATGAATTTCAGGATAGTTCGGAGAGTGAACCAGAGCTTTTTATCAGTGGGGATGAACTGATGAACCAGAGTCAGGGCAGCAAAAAGGGATGGAAAACCAAGAGGAATTTGAGGACCGCTAGCGAGCTGGATGAATTCAAGTGTCGTAAGGCCAATGAAAAGGAGGATGGACGACTGGGGAGCCAGGGCTTCGTGTACGTGATGGCCAACAAGCAACCTTTGTGGAACGAGGCAACACAAGTGTATCAGCTGGACTTTGGCGGGCGGGTGACCCAAGAGTCTGCAAAAAACTTCCAAATTGAGCTGGAAGGACGACAGGTAGGAGGGCAGCAGCAAGTTGCCTGGGAAGGGTGGGTGAGCAGGCAGCGGGAGGAAGATGTGTGCCAGAACTGCCCTGTCCTTCTCCCGCTGCAGCGTGCTTCCAGCATGCGCTAGTTGCTCTTTGAGAAGGCTTTGCCACAGAAAGCCAGCGTTCAACATCTAGATTCAGAAGGACATTTAAAGTTCACTTTTAAACTAAATATACAAAATATATCTTTTATCTTACAAAACAGATCTTTTGTCAGACCCAGGGAAAATGGCCTCCTTTAATCTCAGTAGCTCTCACTTCTGAAGGTGTTTTTTGTAATGGAGTGGGGAAAAACACAACGAATTTCCCCATTCATAGCTGAATTGAAGTCAACAATTGTGGACGATGGCTGTTTGAATAACCACTACTCAGTTCCCACAAAGATTACACAGGTTAGCCAGGCATATGCTCCTGGCAGCAGACAGTTAAGATAGAGATGATGGGGAGTTAAGTTCCTTCCAGGCCAGAATCTTGCCCTCATGGATAACCAGGCCTCTGGGACTGGCTCTTAATCCTAAAGGAAAGGCTCTGGCCCTTTCCCCTAAACAAGGTGCTCACAGGCTGCCTCTCAACAACTGATGGATAGAGGAGTCTGCAGATGTTTCAAAAAAAACAAAACATTTAAGGCTGTCTCATACTGGCCTGAGTTGGATGTTACTGCATTAAAATCAGGCTATTAACTGACTTCATCAGCGGAATGCTGGACTGAGACTCAGGAGACTTAAGTTTAATTTTCCTAGTTTATCTGTACCATCTCTGTGAGTTGTTTTTGATTAATGAAGACATTAATGCTCACAACTCCCACTGATCTAACTTAGGAGCTAGGTGTCTTAGCTATCATTAATATGCCTGATCAACAGTAGTCTTTCTGTCTTTTTTTTTTTTAATTTATGGCAACAGCTCATTAAAAGGGCAGTGAGAAGCACCAGTTAAACTGTTTCATCTTCAGTTAAGTGACCTTGGATACATGTCCATAGACAGCTGTGTTAAGTCCCCCTGATCATAGGCTTTGTTGAACAAAAGCCTGACTCAGCTAGCACAGGAAGCCTGCATTCCAGCTCAAGCAACTTTATTGTAGACCAAAAAAAAAAAAAAAAAGTAATCTGGGCTTTTGATTAAGCAGCAAATGGTAACACAGTAAAAATAGACCGAACTTCAGGTGTTCCTTGCAGAAAACAGAGAACAACCTGACTGACCCTGCTTTGCATTTCAAACAGCTCGCACTGCCCTTGGCCACTTTGTTCTCAGTGTAATTATGTGCTAGCGAAGGTTATACAGAAGAAAACAGAACTGCCAAGAAAATTCAGCTTACTGCATGTGAGATGCTGTAGTCAGGAGATTGGTCATTCTGTCCTCTTCTGAAAGTCCCTTCCCTTGAAAACAAAAACTGTTTTCCTGACAGGGAGATGATAGGATCTCTCCAGGGCAGAGAATGGTATTTTTATGCAGGAAGAAATGATTCAGCATGCAAGTGTGAATGGTTCAAAATGTCTCACTCTTGCTGTTTTTGTTTTGTTTTGTTTTGATTCACTTCTTTTGACCTTGTTCTTTTTTACCTTCCCTCCTCCTCTTTGCCTGCCTCCCAGGTGATGCAGTTTGGAAGAATTGATGGCAATGCCTACATTTTGGACTTTCAGTATCCGTTTTCTGCAGTGCAAGCCTTTGCTGTTGCTCTGGCTAATGTGACTCAACGCCTCAAATGAACAAGCAGAGACTGGAGAGAGGAAAATGTTCACAAAACCATCTCAAAAAGTCCAAGCCAGAAAATGTTAGGGCAGTCTGCTTTAGGTGCGCAGAGGTGCCTGGGAACGAAAAAGGCAGTAAAACTGGAAAAGTCTTTTGGTGCCCCAGACAAGGGCATTAACTCTAATCAGTCATGGGGTGGAGGGTGGGGGGACTCTTTTCTCTTTTGTTCCTTCATTTGTTTTTGGTTTGTTTGTTTCTTTGTTTGTTTTTTAGCGTTCTGCTGGGTTTCAGAAAGAGCGGAGGGTTGAGAGCCGTTCAGTGTCACGTGGAGGTGTGTGGCTTTTGGCTTGTTGTGGTGATTCTGCCGTGTTTGCTACAATAGCTACGTAAGCTCATAGGGGGATTAAAATGACTGCTCTTTTTGATAGACTGCCTTATATCATGCTATTATTTTTAAAACAGGGAGCATAACTTTTTTCTGGTCCACTTTGTACTACTACTACTATTACTACTACTTACTGCTACTGCTACTACTGCTACTACTATTATTACTACTACATCAATGATAGCAGCAAAAAAAAAGGAAAAAAAAGAAGCTATAATACTTGAAGACACATGTTTCTTCTCTGATCTCTGTTAATAACTGAGCACCACAGGTACCAAGGAGGCTTATGTAGGTCAATGTTTAATTTATAAATAATGATGTATTATTCAGAAGATAAAACTGTTACCTTTGGGTGATTTCAATACCCACTGTATCAAAGAAGTTGATGTCTGCTTGTTTTGTGTGCTGTTATTGGGGATAAACATGTTTCAGTAAGTGACGAAAAATACAGAAGGAAAGACTTGTAGGCCTTGCTTCTTTGCTCTTATTGATCAACAGTATTCTTTGATTTGGCCTATGGTCGGGTGAGGTACATTGTGATCGGGGTACCTCATAGGCCAGGGCAATACAGGTTCCTCTATTAAATGTGTTTACATTTTAAAAACAGTCTTTCAAGTGAATGAAATGGGCCTTGTGTGTTCAGTCTTCATAGGAATCGAGTTCCACAACATTATATCAGCACTTGAACATGGAAGGAGACAGGAGTATGGCAGGTCATGACAGGAAACAATTCCATATTATGACTGACTGGAACAAAAAGAGTTAAAAGAAGAAGGAAAAATCAGACAGAATCATCATTTCTATCACTTTGCTACTTCAGTACTCTATTTGTGATTGTAGTTTGAGAATATAACGCTCCAAATAAGAGTGGGAAGCCAAAGTTTAAAAGGAGGAGGGCTTTTTCACAGTAGCATGACTGTTTCTGTCTGCAGATTTTTTAGTAGAGATCCTGACCTCTTGAGCGTTTCAGAAGGGTTGCTTGCACAGAAGAGTGATTGTGTTGTCCATCTGATGTGCACATATTGATTTTCTTTCTTTCCTCCATGTTTGTATTTTGCTATGGAATATGTTTTAATATGGAAATAGTTCCCCAGAAATACACAAAACCCATAATTATTCATGCTCTTATGTGGACATTAGATTACAAAATGTAACTGCGGATTTCCTTCAGTAATTACTCCTTTGAAGTGTGAGCACACTGAGATGGAAATAATGTTTGAGGTATCAGGGGCTGCTTTACCTTTGCTTTTCATCCACAGTTTAACTTTTTACTAGAAAAACGCTGTGTAACTTAGATGTCATTTTCTGTCTTTTTTTTAATCAAAACAGTAGGGTAAGTAATATGTTATACTTGATTCATTCTAGAGGAACCCATCACTTGCAACAGGACCCGTTCTAGTAGAGGTTACCAAAATGCCACGTGCCAGTAACTTCTGCCTCAGCTAAGGCTTCTGAAGAGAGGAGTGTCAGGGAGCTGCAAAGAGGGATGATGCGCAGGTCATCTACAGGCTGTGGCTGATCCGCCAGTGATGTGAGTCCATCTGCAAGGTGATTTCCTTGGAGTGAGGGAGCAGAGGTAGGGAGGAAGGAGAGGAGGAGGTAGAAGCTACAGTGTCTCTATTATCCCAGCTCAGCAGCTTCTGCTTGTGTGTGGAAGTGGTCAGGCACCACATCCCCCTTGGCATTTAACATATTGCTATTGCTTTTTTTGATTAATTCCGTTGAATTTCTTCAGTCATCTGAGCCCATTTGCCTTCCTTCTCACGCACATCACCTATTCAGCAGCTTCTTTGAATGACTTTATACTGTGTGGGGGACAGAGGAACCCGAATGGATTTGGTCCTTATCCCTTTAAAATGAATGGGTATTTCTATCTTTGATTCTTGTGGGGGAAGCAGTGTTGGGTCCTTGTCTGTACGGAGTTGTATGCTGTGCGGGATGGTAGGTCGAATTCTCAGCCCCTAGTTCCAAAACCCAAGGAGGAAAGTTACTCAATTAGAGTCCTTGCCTGCCCAAGTCCGTGGTGACCAGTTGTACCCAAGTCAGAGTGTAACAGGTATACACTGAGCACCATAAGAGCAGAAACATATCACGGGTTTCTACCCATTCTGTCACATATTAGAAATATTCAGCAGGAAGGACCATACTGCCTGTTGTTTTAAGTCAAAAATTGTTATTTCATGAAACAAGATACTCTACATGTGTGTTTTCTGAACTAATCAAAATAGAAGGACTTTTACGTGCAGTTCCTTTAACCTTCCAGGAAACAGTATACCTCTTCAATTGGTTCCAAACCAATTTTCTCCAGTTATCAGCAGTTTTATGCTAACATAGGAGAACCACAAAATGGAACCAGATGAAACAAGTTGCAGAGTTAGTTATTTGGTTTCGTTGACCAGAGTCATGATCACACCATGACTGCATGGTGGTGCTTACAAAGAACCCCTGCCTGCATAGAAAGAGACTGGGTCCCTGCCCCAAGAAAGTGCAGATGATAAGTATCATAAATAAATATTATTTCCAGCATCCTTCTCATTTACTTATCAGGAAATATTATGGATAAAATATTGTATTTGGAAATATATCGACAGAGTTCCTTTACTTGAAGATTTTAGTGACACAGAGAATATCCAGTATTAGAGGTATATTTTAATCTCGAATATGTAGAAATGTAATCAAAATAATGGAAAGTAGGTTGATGACTGAGAGTAGAACTGGATCCTAAATTATACCAAAAAAAAGAGCGTGACAGTGCTTTTATTTTTCATGGAGATTAAAAACGAGAGAAAACTTTAAAAGGCCGTGTGAAGTAATATCACTTTCATTCTGAAGATTACTTTTGCATTCAGCCAAAACAAAAGGAAAAAAATATATAGTCAAGTAGTTAAGTGCAAGTTTTCCATAGGTAGGTAGCTAAGTTCTTCTAGAAAGAATGGAGCAGAGTATTCAGAAATATATAATTGTTTTAAAGACATGGTCACTTCCAGGAGTTAACTATCATTTTCCAAAGCTTTTTTTTTTCAGTTGTGCAATAATTGTGACAGTCTAGGTTTTGGGGGGGGGGGAATTGTTCTTTGTTTTTTGAGTGATTTTTTTTAAAAATATAATTTAATGCAGATTTCCTGCTAATGTCCAAAAGACAAATTATTTATCTTGCTTAATGTAATAAGTGACTTTAGGGATTATTTTATTAATATGTATCTGTGCATTATACACACTTTCTTATTTATATTTAAAAAACATCTTTTAAGTAGTTGTTTGCTAGCAGTATATTTTGCTGGAAGAGGTTAAGCGTGCCTATAGGAAGACCTGTTTTTGCTGGGTAGTGTGCAAAATCTCATAATGCAGGCAGGCAAAAATGCCTGCTGAGAGCAGTGAGCAGTAAGCTTGCTCTGGAGGACTGTGTAGATGACAGAGTGTAGATGAGCTCTTTGGGACCTGCAGAAATCTGTCTTTCCCTGCTCTGTATTTTCCTCCTGTGTTTCTAGCTATGGATTGCATCTGGGAGTGGTTTTCAAAGTCCAAACCTTGATTTGCTTTCCCTCTTCTTAGCACCATGTGCTCTCTTGAGGTGTGAGAAAGGGTAGAAGACAGGCTTGGTTTGCAAGAAGCTCTTGGCATAGCTTAGTAGGGCATTGAGCAAGGGCGAGGTGCAGCGCTGCACAGAGGTACCCACATCGCTTGGGATGCGCTTGCTGAGGCCCTGGGGATAGTCTGGGTGTAGATGCCCTGTGCTCTGCTCAGACCAACACACACACCTCAGCGGGGCTCAGCTGCTTCTGAAGCACCACAGAGCTGCTGATACCTGGGCAGATGCTGCACAGGGCTGATGGGGCTGCGTCCTGACAGTGCCTGCAGGACCTCTGAGTCCAGCACTGGGGACCTGCTGGAGCTGCAGGGCCAGCTGGTGTCCGGGATGGACGTTTGCAGGCACAATCTGCCCTGCTGACCCACAGGAGACCCGTATTGATTGAAAAATATGGCTCTCTCCTCAAAACACAGCTCCTATGGGAGTCTAGAAATCAGTATTTAAAGGCTTGTGTGAAGTGGACTGTGCATGCAGTGGTGTATTTTACCTTGAGACAGCAGAATTGTTCAGTGGGAATATCACATTTCTGCAATGTGCTAAGAAACTATGGAAAGGCAAGAGGTGGGGAGGGATGAAAGAGAGAAGAAAAGAATTGTCACGTTAAGAATTTGCACTCAGTTCTAGATGTAGCAGTAGCATGTGCTATGGCCAGCCTGTGTATCAGTTTTATGACAGTAGATTTGCACGCAAGCTCGTCTCAGTTAAACTTTCTGTGATGCAAAAACAGTAAAATAGTTCCACATTTCCCCAGTTTTGTTCCACGTTTTTACAAAGCTGTGTAACAGTGTCAGATCAAGGTATCCAACTTGGCTGAAGCCTTCAGTCTAGACTCTGCATAGGTCCAGGCTTCCTTTGAAGTGTCTTTAGTATCCTCTCAGAAATTTCCAATAAACTTGTAAGCTTGCCTGGTCATTGCCTCAGCCAGTTTCTGAGTGTTTGTTTTTTTGCAGCCTCATAGGAGTGATTCTGTGTTAATCTTGTGCCCTGTTATCTGTCAGCAGCAGTTTAAACCTCATCTGAAGGAAGCAGCACACACTAAAACTGTTTTAAAGAGTGTTTTTTAAACAAGGTTTAAAGATGTGTTTGCCAGAGCAACAGTTGGCAGCACTGTTTGGAAGTGGCACATTTCTGCAGAGCCCAAATCACTGCTGACCAGCAAATCTGTCAGGTAGCTCAGTGGCAGACAAGTCAGGCTGAGAAGGGGCCAGGTTCCAGCTTCTTTACGTGGTTACATCAGGACACAGGAGAGAACAGCATCTGACCTAATGTATGCTTTGCCCTTATTGTGTGATTGATTATAAAGGAAGAATGATTGTGATGACATGTAAGAATTGACTCCGAAGCACTAGTCTGCTACTATTTTGGCAGTTCTGGCAACTCTCCCGCTTTCTCCCTCCGAAGGATGCTAGGAGTGAAATCCTGGCCGCAGGGTAGTCATTCAGGATTTTGCCATTCTCCCCCATTTCTAGGATTCCACTACAGAAGAGCAAGCTATTTGTGCTATTTAGAGGTTGATACTGTGATTTTTTTTCCAGTATGA